TCTGAGAGTAGCTAATTATCAGAAGCACTGCTGTTGTACTTGAGTCAGTATGGTTAGCTACTCTTAAATTCTGACAGACTTCTCTAGCAGACTGACATTCTGCTGCCTAGACCTATGGTCTAGACTCTCATCTTTACCATCAAGAATCTCAACTAGGACATGACCAGGCTTGCCTTTGTTTTCTTGACTGACTTGCTGACTACATCATTAATGCTTGCTGGAAGCAGACCTTAAACTGTACAACTAAGCTTTCACCACTCCCAGTGCCTAATCTAAGATATAACAACCCTCCACCCATTCCTAAGGCTATTACTTTAAAAAAAAATTACCTTGATTGTACTCATATGGTTAATATGTCCAGTTTTATTTTGAGTCTCAGTCTTTCTGGCTTGGTAAAACTCTCATACTTATGTTCCTTTCAGATGACAATGAAAAACATATGATACTTTCCCTTAATTGTAGCAATATAGAGAACTCTGAGATTTTTCTTGGCAGAAAAGACGTGTAACATACTTTTGCAGTTATATCTATGATACAGGCTTTTGACCTTTAAATAAATCATTTTTGGTAAATCTGTAAGGCAAGCACTAGGGATTCCTCCCAAGTATGGAAAACAGCCAATGTATTTGAAGTGAGTTATAATCAGAGTCCTTTCTGTTTTGTTAAAATAAGCATTAAAACAAAAGTCTGCATCTATATCCTGTACTTACAAAGAATTAGTATAAGATATTTACTGCACATAAAGATCTTACTTGTTTTCTGTCTTGCAAGTGTGACTCACCTCTTGGGAGAAGATTGGTAGAGACATTATATAGAAAGTGTTTCTGCACAGATACTTTAGTCTGTGGTACAAAGTTATTTGTTTGGAACTTCTTTCTATGAATCATCTTCTAAACCTCCCAAGTATCCCCAAACAGGCTGAGTACATAAGGGTGTGATCAAAGACGGAGAAATGCTTTACTACAGGGATATATTTATTTATATTAAGTAAGCAGGATTGTAGGAATGCACCAATGTTTCTGGGAATACCCAAGCCACTATTGCTGTAAGACATTGCTATGCCCAGAAGAGGCTTACTATACTCCAGTCATTCCTTAGATCACAAGCATTCCAAAGAGATTCCTCGGAAGGCTACATATACAGAACAATGAGCAGAAGTTGTACTAAAGCTGATCCTTGTTTGAATCCTAAGAACAAAATTATGAAGCCTTGGGAAAGTCACAATTATTGTTAAGGATGCTAATCCTGCACTACACCCAGTTATTCATACTGAATGCTTATGCTCTCTAGTAGCCCATATCAGCCATTCTATCCAAACTGGTTTAATCCATTCAGCTCTGAAGCCAAACTGCTATCCAAAACAGTATTTTCATCTATGGGTTCTATATGGGACCAAGTGATTGTATGGGAAGTGCTCCATTCTTTCAAAAAATCCAAGGACATACATATCCACTATCCTCCTATCATTTGCTAGGGGAACCTGGCAGAACTGTCTACAACAGGTCAATCACTGTAGCCTCTTCAGTTTATCAGGAGTGTATTGACTGGTTCTACTATACTTTATAAAGTTCCTGGTTGTGAAGTCAGGAGCAAAGCTCTCCAACTGTGATTCTCCAGTTGTGTTGGATTATGATTTCCATCACTTCCTACTATGTAGTTACTGCTTGTAACCCAGACCAACTGAAAATTATCAGACTGGAAAAGATAGCTCCTGTGTTTTAAACCATTTTTGCCAGATCTTCTACTCTTTATATGTTATTTACTTTGACGTCACAAGCATCCCAAGATGGTTTACCATAATCATAAAGCAGGATAAAGGTCTGTCTCAGCACCAGTTTTGATGTAAAAGTAAGGATTTGTATATAAAATAAAGCAAGATACTATTGTGTCCTCCACCTCATACGAGAAAGTTTGGGATTATCTCTGATTAATTCTAAGATTGTTTACTTACGGTTTTCTGTAAAAAACCTGGGGATTATTAGGTTATGGTGAGAAATATCTCCTTCCCTCACAGAACTACATCTGTGAACTACATCTGAGAAAGAATAACAATTCAATAGTTAGATGCATATCCCCACCATGCTATTCCCTTTCTGGGTAAGCAACATTATGCAAGGTTGTAGAGAATAAGGAAGATGACTTGACAGAAATATGCAAGAAGAATACCTAGGCAAAAGGGGATGAAACATTTTTTAAGTCCAAAGAAATAAGATAACATCTGGAAGTGGCTCAAGTAGACCCCTCCCTAATTTCACTGAACTATAAGGAGGAGGAAGAGGTACAGCCCAATCAGACTTGCAAGATTCTGTTAATATAGCCAATTTCAATAAAAGTAGTTTTAGCCTTCCTATGCAGTTGATTTCCTCTTCTCCTCTACCAAGTGGGGGTTACAGGAAAAGAGTAAGAAGTGTTAAGCAAAAGTAATTATAGGCAGGATGTAAGAGAAAAGAAAAATCTAATTGAAACTAGTCACTAGATAGGTCCAGAGATCTGCCCCCCATCATAGCTTTCACCAATCAAAGGTTCCATACAATGCTTTTCAATAAGGCAAAGAAGGAGTGGACTAGGTCATCAGCTTTAATTGTACCTGTGGCATGTGCCTGCTAACAGAAAAGACATGATACCAGTCAGTTTGGCCATATTTTGGCCACAGTTCCAACCAAAGCCCAACTTCTGCTCACATTATTCTATGCAAGTCAGGAACTTTAATCTAGAAACCTCATACAAGCCAAAATACCATCACCTGCATCCCAACAACTAGGAGGTATGGACGGGATACTGATAGATACTTTGCATACAAATATACTAAAAATGCATCAAAGAGGAAAGGAAATTCAGGAGTATATCATGGCGAGGTACATTAGATTGCTAGTTTCCATTGCTGCTGCTGTGTGTGAGAGAAATGGAGACACAAAACCAGCAGAAAGAGGTTCCTCTCTCACAGCTAATCCAGATTTTTCCAACCAGATGTGTTCCAGGTATGCTAGGAGTGCAACTCCCCAAATTATCTACTGAAAATGCTGGTTGGGAATTGCAGGAGTTGTAGTCCCAGCATCTCAGGAGAGGACCTGATGTGCTGGGACCACAGCTGCACCACAGAAGACTAAACTGCTGATCTCTGACAACTGCTGCTGTGGGAACTGAGCTGTCTTCACCAGCATAGAAGCTCCTTTTATAAATGGCCCATGGATAAGTGTTGGAGGAAATGAAATGCAGGGATATTCCACAAAAATGCACTCTTATCCAGGGAGCTTTACTTTTCTCACCGAGCTGGAAACAGTTCAGGCATATCTCCAATCAATATTCACTGTCTGCATGTACAATTGATGTAGCTCCCGGCTGACCTGCAGCATGTACGTCAAAAACATCTGGAAACTGGTTAAGTGTCACCAAGAGCTGAGGGTTTTTTTTAGCTTTCTATGAGGAGATCAAATATTCTTGCAAACACAACATTATGCTAAACTGCAGATGGAAATCTGAGTTAAACTACTACTTAGCTGCTGTACTTAGTATGCTTTGGTTTCTTTAATGTTCTTTCCTCATCCCCATTCCCACAGTTCTCCTAACTGCCTTTGTCTGCAGAAAAGTGGACGGTTTCTGTCTGTTTTCTTGGGCATGGGGTTGTGATGTTAACTGGGCATACTGCTGTTTCTGAAACATCTGGGTTAAGACACAGCTGAGATTATCCTACTGCTCTACTTCAGCTTGGGGTATAATAGTCTGCAGTGTAAATATGCCCTTAAGAGGGAGCTGCTGATCTCCTTTCTGGAGCCAAATGATTTACCTACTACCAATGGGATCCTACCACAAATGTTGCTCTTAGACTGTGATAGGCCCAAACTAGAGCATGCCATCCCCATGGATTTGCCCATAAAATGCATTTTGCTTGATTTTAATCCTTTTAAATAGAGCAATAAATCCCAAACAGAATGCTACATATGGAATTAGTTATATACACTATGAGCTGCAGTACTTGGAATGCCACAGTATTTACTTACTACATGTGTTTCTTACTAGCATCATTTTCTTTAATGAGTCTGAGGAAAGCAACCCAAACAAGTCGTTACCCAGACAACTTCTCTCTGCCTCTCTTCTTATTTGGAAAATCCAATCCTTACTCCATAACCCCAGTCAACCCAGTGAGTAGAATAGATATTTTATTTCTATACAGGCTCTGTATATATCCACAGGACATTAAGGATTTTCTTATTCCTGATTTCACAGCTTGAAACAATTCCTTATTTTTAAAATGTTAAGTTCACATTCCCAGATGTCTCCCAGGACTGTAATTCTATGAGAGGTGCCAAGAGCTTCTGGGAGGAGGAACATGGTTTCTAATGTGTTAGTTGTCATCATAAAACAGCAGGGCAAACACACATTTGCTAAGCTATGCATATGAAAACTGCAGATTTCCCAGTGAACATACATTCAGGGGGGACAGTATGGGCAAGTACATCAAAGAAAACTATGCACGTTGGTTTAGCTTGCCAAAATTAAAGGAAAAAGCACGACCTGCATAAATCTGGCTCATTTAATTTTAGTATTATTTTCTCTTTGATGTAATGCAGAATGAGCAGAAATATACACGAACTGGAAATCAAATGTGGCATTTGTTATCCTTGACTCTTTTCCATTTCCCCCAGGAGCCAAAGATACAGCCTTTTTTAAAAAATAAGTTTCAAAAAGTCGTGCCCTCCCTTTAACATTTCGGACAGAGAATTTCTTGTATATCAGAAAATAAAAAACAAGAAAGTGTGTGTATGCAGCATTGTGGCTAACAAATAGATGGTCCGGTTCTTCTTCTTTCCCTGGAAATCAAAGCCAGAAGAACTTTCTGCCCGCCGTGCCAGTAAGAAAATGCTGTAGAGCTTCTTCTGTTACTCCGGTCTCCTCTCCAACCCTTCCTGCGAGATCAAAGAAAACTCTGCCCTCTCCAGATGGGAAGGGAGCGATCGGTTCTTTTAAGCATGCATAGAAAGCAGCTTGCCAACTTACGGTACCTCTTGGCAGACAGGAAATGAAAAGGAGCTGCAGGAGGGCTGCGAGTCCTACATGCCTCCAGGGACCTGGTTCCATGCTGCTGCTGCTGC